CAGGGCCTGCGTGGGCTCGCTGCGCTCGGCCTCCTCGAAGTCCATGGAGCGGGGCAGGTTGATGAAGATCTTGATGGACTTCGGGCCTTGCCCTGGGGACAGAGGGAAGGGAGCAGGGAATGAATTCCTCAGGAATGGCCCTTGAATTCCTCAGGAATGGCCCTTGCTCTGGGGACAGAGGGAATGAATTCCTCAGGAATGGCCCTTGAATTCCTCAGGAATGGCCCTTGCTCTGGGGACAGAGGGAATGAATTCCTCAGGAATGGCCCTTGCTCTGGGGACAGAGGGAATGAATTCCTCAGGAATGGCCCTTGCTCTGGGGACAGAGGGAATGAATTCCTCAGGAATGGCCCTTGCTCTGGGGACAGAGGGAATGAATTCCTCAGGAATGGCCCTTGCTCTGGGGACAGAGGGAATGAATTCCTCAGGAATGGCCCTTGCCCTGGGGACAGAGGGAATGAATTCCTCAGGAATGGTCCTTGCTCTGGGGACAGAGGGAATGAATTCCTCAGGAATGGCCCTTGCCCTGGGGACAGAGGGAAGTGAGCACAGAATGAATTCCTCAGAGGGAAGTGAGCACTGCAGTGCCCAGGGAGGGGCACGAGGAAATTGTGGCACTGCACAGTGTGAGCTTTCAGTGAATCTCACTCCGGCCTGGAATTACATCCAGGTCTCTCTTGGCATGCCACCAAACTGTAAATACTTCTATGTGTGTATCAAACGAAAAGAAACACCCTGCGTATCAATCAATAATAAATACTTTGATTTGTGTGTCAAACATCAGTCAGTAATGAGTAATTGCACCGCCCTCACCACTCACCGTTGTCTGGCCCCTGAAGTTTCATAGAGTAAAGCTTGACAGGCTGACTGAAAGCTACAGTGATGAGCAGCTGTGGAGGGAAAAACCACAGTTACACACACTGGTTATTCCCTGGGAACAACCAGCACAGGAAACAGGGATAAAGAGGGAAAAACCACAGTTACACACACTGGTTCTTCACTGGGAACAACCAGCACAGGAAACAGGGGTAAGGCAGCTCTGGAATAAAATGCTGGGCTCACTTTCCCCTGTTCCACATGTTCTGGCTCTTTATTGCCCAGCAAAAGCTCCGTGCCTGGGCAGTCTCAGTGTGGAAAGCTTTGTAGCCCAGGGTTCCTGCAGCTCCCAGCCAGGGGTTCCTGCAGCTCCCAGCCCAGGGATCCTGCAGCTCCCTGCAGCTCCCAGCAGCTCCCAGCCCGTGGTTCCTGCAGCTCCCAGCCCGGGGCTCCTGCAGCTCCCTGCAGCTCCCAGCAGTCTCACCTGCTCGTCGCAGTCGGACTCCAGGTAGGAGGAGTCCTTGCGCAGACAGTTCTCGAAGCCGTGCTCGTCGCTCTCGTTGAGGCACTCGCAGCCGGCCTTGTTGATGAAGGGCAGCAGATCCATCTGGGGACAGAGAGCACAGCTGCTCACAGCTGGGACAGCCACGTGTGCCACACAAAATTCATTTGAATCACTAGGGAGATTCATTATTCTTAGAAAACCTGTATGTGTCAATATTGACATTTCTTCTGGAAAAGAAAGCCCAGACAAGTGATTTTCTTGGGCAGCTTTGCCTAAAATCCAATTATTTGCCTTCAAGGACATTTGAAAACGGGGGTTTTTCTAACACCTGAGCCGCACAGGCACTGCCGTGAAGCTCTGGGGAGATACTCACGTATCCTTTGGGGATGTCTGTGTCTTCGCTGTTGCCAGGATCGTTCTCCAGGTGCTGCTTGATTTTGTCCTCCAAGCCCACGGCATCTGCTCCCTGGTACTGGTCGATGCGCACTTTGTTGCGGAAGAACAGGAAGGTGGGCGTTGCCGAGATGTTGTTGGTGGCAGCCGTGCCCTGGCAGCACACACGAGACCCCATCCAGTGCTTCAGCCACACTGGGAGCCACCGAGCCCCACCAGAAACCCACGGGCTTGTTTCTGCCTTCTGACCTCAAGTATTCTGTTGGAAAGGCTCTGTTTAATTCCCTGCAACATCTAAACTATTATTTCAGCAACGCAGGCAGCAGGGACCAAGAATCAACGAAGTAACGAGTGACTCTGCTTTTACACTGCAGGAATATTTCCTGCTAGAGGAGGGATTTTGTTCTTTCAGTCTGGGAGAAGTCACTGTCAGGGCTCCTGTGCTGCAGCAGGCACAGTGAGCTGGAGCCTTTCCCCATTCCCTGTTTCTCCTCCCCAGGCAGGGCACCTCTGGGGCCATTCCCCATTCCCCATTCCCTGTTTCTCCTCCCCAGGCAGGGCACCTCTGGAGCCTTTCCCCATTCCTGTTTCTCCTCCCCAGGCAGGGCACCTCTGGAGCCTTTCCCCATTCCTGTTTCTCCTCCCCAAGCAGGGCACCTCTGGAGCCTTTCCCCATTCCTGTTTCTCCTCCCCAGGCAGGGCACCTCTGGGGCCATTCCCCGTTCCCATTCCTCCCGGGCAGCTGGCACACACCTGGCACTGGTGCACGTCCACCTCCAGGAAGGTTGCCTGCGGGTATTTGTTACTCAGGGCGCTGAAGGCGGGCGCGATCCGCAGGCAAGGGCCGCACCTGTGGGAAAAGCCACACGTCCGCTCGATTCCGCTTCTGCTTTGCCCCAGATGGAGCTGCAGCGTTCCTGCTCTTCCTGATATCCTGCTGTAAGAACGGCCTCCCTAGCTGCCTGCCAGCTGGAAAGATGACATTTGGCAACCTCTTTATTCGCGGCAACTTTAATATTTAATGGTCAGCGCGTATCGAAGCTTCAGGGATCAGAAAATTCTTCCTACAGTAAATCTCGTTTACATCTGTAACCGGGTGTTGCCATATTTATTCGGCCCTGGGAGGACAGAGTTGGTTTCTTTTGATTTAATTGCATGGCCTTGGAAGAAAATGTGTGTTTTTTTTATTTATTCCGCGTCAGGAAAAGTGTAGGAAGTGCTCAGCTGCACCAGTTCCTGTAAAGGGAGTTTCTCTCTGGTGAAGAGAAACAAAAAGTGGACTAATAAAAAAACCCCGATGTACAAAAAAAACCAGCCAGAACTAAGAGGCAGCAGCCAAAAAATAATGAACCCCCAGACCCCTGAGATTATCACTGTTCTCCCTAAATTCCCAAATTAAGGTTTATTTGGTGACAAATTCATCCCGATTTCACCACAGTCGCACCTCCCCGGTGAAACGGGAAAAAGGGATAATCTACTTGTCCCGGGCCAATGGGGTGCGGATCCAGCCAAGTAAAAGATGTCGTTCCAAGTTTTTAGGTGTTTTTAGTGCTGTCCGTGCCTTGTTTGCTGCCTTTAAACCCGCGCAGCCCCTCTCCCTCAGAGCGCCTGAGGGCAGCGGGTTCGGCGGCAAAAAACGGGAATTTTCTCGCAGGATCTGGGAACGCGGTGTTAAAAAAAATCACGGAGCTTCTAAAGGGGCTGATGCTGAGACTGCACCGACGCGTTCCGGAGCGCCCCTCACGCTGCAAACCGCGCCGGGGAACCCCGAACACAAACACGGGAGCAGCGGAGCCCTTCCCGGCAGCCTGAGGCGGGACGGGCGCGCATCCCGCCCTCACTCACCCCCTCATGGTGAACTTCACCACGGCCAGGCGGGAGCCGGCGGCGCTCAGCTCGGGCTGGAACTCCGTGTCGTTGGCGATCACCTTCACGCCCGCCATGGCCGCGGGCCCCCGGTGGCGGTGCCGGGTGCGATGTGCAGCGTCACGGCGGGCGGCACGCCCGGCATGCACCGCTGGCACGGGCGCACGCGCGGCCGCCCCGCTCCGCTCCCGCCCGCCCTCCATCTCGGGCCAGGGCAGCGCGGGGAGCGGCGACGCCGCCGGTCGCCATCTTGCGAACGGGCAGCGATGCCATTTTGGGAACGGGCAAGCCGTGAGGGAGCGACGCCCCCCGGCGGCCATTTTGAGAACGGGCAAGCCGTGAGGGAGCGACGCCCCCCGGCGGCCATTTTGAGAACGGGCAAGCCGTGAGGGAGCGACGCCCCCCGGCGGCCATTTTGAGAACGGGCAAGCCGTGAGGGAGCGACGCCCCCCGGCGGCCATTTTGAGAACGGGCAAGCCGTGAGGGAGCGACGCCCCCCGGCGGCCATTTTGAGAACGGGCAAGCCGTGAGGGAGCGACGCCCCCCGGCGGCCATTTTGAGAACGGGCAAGCCGTGAGGGAGCGACGCCCCCCGGCGGCCATTTTGAGAACGGGCAAGCCGTGAGGGAGCGACGCCCCCCGGCGGCCATTTTGAGAACGGGCAAGCCGTGAGGGAGCGACGCCCCCCGGCGGCCATTTTGAGAACGGGCAAGCCGTGAGGGAGCGACGCCCCCCGGCGGCCATTTTGGGAAGGGGCAAGGCGTGAGGGAGCGACGCCCCCCGGCGGCCATTTTGGGTACGGGCAAGCCGTGAGGGAGCGACGCCCCCCGGCGGCCATTTTGAGAACGGGCAAGCGCGGGAATCGTGTGAGGGGAGACGCGGCTTTAAATATCGATATAAAAATTTAGTAGTGGTTTCGTCATTAATTCGGGTTTTTTTTGCGGGATGATCGTTCTGTCTTGCAGGCAGAACTGATGCCAAACTTTGTCACCTTACTTAAATTATGTTTTTTTAATAAAGCCACGCTGTCGCCATACGGAAAATTCTGAAATAAAGCCAAAAGGGGGCAAATAAGAGATAAGTGCTTGTAATAACCACAAAATAAAACCAAAATGAAACTCAGGACTTTCTCTGACCCCATTTGCAGCGTCATTCCTGACAACATCCCAACGTACTTTAGAACACAACATAATGATGTCTCATAATTCCGCTTTTCCTGGGAATATCCCCAGCATCCTACTCTCGCCTGCTGTAATTCAAAAGCCTCGCAGTAATCGCTAATAAATAACTAAATGAATGAATTAATTGATATCGCTAAATAAATATTAATTTTTTTTTAAGCAAGTAATCACCGGTTCCTCGCGCGCCCTCAGCAGTTTCCACGGCGGCGGCACCTTGCCGTCAAGCGCGCCGGCCGGCGCTTTGCGCCAGTGCCGCGGGACGCGGTGTCATCCGGCCGCTGCCGCACCGAGCGCGGCGGGGCCGCGGCGCCCGGGACACGCGAGGGCCGGCAAAGCCACCGGCACCGGGAGCGGAACAGGTGCGACCGCGGGGCGGGAGAGCGGCCGGCTGCCGGCGGGAGCGGTGCGGCGAGCCCGCTGCCGTCCGCAGGCCCCGCAGCATCCGCGCCGGGGGAGCGCTGAGGAGGCGCGGGGAAGCCGGAGACTCGGCCCAGGGAGCCCCGGTAACGGAGCGGGCTGGGGTTTGGAGTTCCGTCGGGGCTCACCTCAGAACGAGCAGCGGGTTATTAAAGGATGGAGGTTTGCATCTAGGGAGAGGCTCCTCGCAGGAATGGATGCTGTGGGCGGCTTAAACCCTTTTTAATGCCGATCCTGTGGTACCTCGCAGCTTTATTTCCCTTTCCTGCGCCAGCCGCGGGGCTCTTGGCACCCAGGCATGGGATTTGTTTTGGATAACTGGCCTTTGTGACGGTTCGAAACGGGAAAAATGACCGTGGGCCTTCAGCGTGTCGTCAAACGAAGCACCGGGAAAACCTGCGAGGCGTTAATTAACCGCAGTGCCAAATTAGTGTTTTGTTCCCCGTCTAGGTTCGGAAGCTCCTGCACACCCAGGGAAGGTGTTCTCGTTGGATTCTCCCTCCTTCCACGGTCCCTTTTCCCCATCCCTGAGGAACAATTAGAACGTGTAATCTGTCATTACATTTAAAATGAGATTTTCCTAAAATCGCTCTATATCACACCATTTAGTGTCATTTATCAGTATTTTGGGGGCAGATTACTGGAGTGTGCACACGTATCCTGAGATTAATCCTTTCCTTAGTGGAAGTACAGGTGTTTGGGGAGAGTTTACTTTTGTTTTACCTCTTCCTCCGTGCATTTGTTGTGTCTGGGGGCTTTTCTGGCTCTAAAAACCCACGCGGTGGATTTCTGGGCAGACAGCTTGAAAAGGGGTTTTGGTTTGAGTCTGCGTTTAATACCTTGTGCTTGAAAAATCAGTTTAGTGGCTTTACTGAAATAGGAATTGATCCGGGATTATGAAATGGGCCTAAATCCCACCTTCAAGCAGAGCAGTTCAAAGAGTCACTGGATTGTTGTGGCAGGTTAACACGTTATTTAACATTTTTTTTTGGTTCGTTTCCTCCTTTAAATCATTGCTTTCTGTTGAAATGTTTAAAAAATCCTGGTGCTGCCCTGCCCGCTCTTGGGCCCGGTGCTGATTTGCTCCCGTACTTTGTCATCGCTGATGTCAAAAAAAAACGGAATTATTGATTGTTTTCGGACAAAAAGGGATTTCGGTGCTGCCAGGGATGCGGTTGGCGCGTGCTGGGGCTGAGCTCTGCAATCCAAAATTCCCCGGGAATGAAAATGTGGCTTTTCCTGAAAAGGAAGTTTTTTGTGAAGGCCTTGCACTGCCATAGTCAAAAACTAGAAGGAAAGAGGTAGTTTTTTCTTTTTCCTCTCTCTCCCCCAAAGCCTTGCCGTGAAATATTCCGAGCGCTGGGTCAGAAACGGGACCGGCAGGGGGGTTGATAACGTGGTTTGTGCATGGAAAATCTGGGATCTCTTGTGTGCTTATTCTCTTGTTTGTTGTAATATCCTCCTGAAAATTCCCTTTATTCAGAGTGGGGTGTTCAGAAGTGCCTCTAAATGCAGCGATTCTGGGCCCCAGCAGGGGACTTTGTGTGTTTATTAAAGAAATGCGGCTGTTTTTGACAGCCCGGTGACACGGGAACACTTGGCTTGTTCCCTGAGCTGGGAGCAGTAGGACGGCTAGGGGAGTGGGAGGGGATTTTTGTGTTGCTCACTGGTGTTTTTCAGCTCTGCTTTAGTCATTTTTGGGTTTGTTCCCTCGCAAAAATTGAGTGGGTATTTCTGTTGGCTGTGGGTGGTTTTGTTCTCATCGTTGATATTTGCATTTTGGAATAAAGCATCTGGACGCTTTATTCCGTTTTTATGATGATTTCCCTGCAAATCGAGCCTGGTTTAATTGTAGCCCTTTGTTTGTTTCAAATGCTGAATTAATTTCTCTTTCTGTGTTGTGATGGTCCAGACAGAGCAATTGATCCGGCATTGCATAACAATTAACTCTGCAGGGCCAGGTGTGGTTTGCAGTGTGCAGAAAGACTGCGTTTTTGGTCTTTATCGATCCCGATCATTACGTTCGAGCTCTTAATTAAATAGCTTTTAATAAAGATGGACCGCTGGGCTGCCAGAAATGAGCTGCTGCGCTGGGAAGGGTCATTTGATGTGATATTAGTGATTTCGTGCTGTGGATTTTGTGGAAAGCCCACAATTGATCCCTGACTTGTCGGGAGCCTCCCGGGAGCCTCGTGTAATCCTTAGCCATTCATTATGGCTCCCTTCCCCCTTTTTTTCCACGGACACAGTTCTCTGGCGCTCAAATGGAGGGACAATTCCTGTGGTTTTTCACACGGATGAGACATGACAGGGATTTCTGTTGGAGTAGATTGGGGTGCTGGCACAGGGAAGTGTCCAGGTTGGAGTGCCCTTTATTTTCCTATCGTAATTCAGATTTATTCCCTCTGAAGTGCTGTGAAACGCGTTTACAGACCTGTGAAAACTCAAGGTAGAAGAAGGTGTATATAGCCATAAAAAAACCTCACATATTTTAAAACAGTTCTTCCATGAATCCTGCCAGTTTTGTTGTGTTCACGCTCCTCTAAATCAGAGCTCTGCTTTGAGCTGGGGTGAGTTCAGAGCATAAACCTCCACAAGATAATCCACAAGGAGTGTTTGGTTATTAATTTAACACGACCTTTTCACCGATAAGAAAACCTCAGTTCTAAAAGCATGGGACTGCTGGGCAAGCAGGGAATGTTGCTACCACAAACAGAGGGTTGTTGTGAGGTTTAAATCTTGTGCAAATTCAAGTGGGTTTTATTGCCACAGCTTGAGTTTCTATTCCCAGTCATTGAGACCTTTTTGGCCCAGGGACAATTGAAATTCCACTGTGTTTTTTGTGTCAATATGTTCAGAATATCCAAAAGGTTGCTGTAAAGATAGTGCTGGACCTATTTCCTGCTGGAGAGTGGCCAGGATCCAGTTTATCAGTGGATTATACCAGGCTGATTTCACCTAAGGCAGGATATTCCATATTCCAACATGAATATGTCCGTGTAGCAGGGACATCGTAACATCAGGGGTATAAAAACTGCTTCAGCCTCAGGGCTTACAACATTTGTAACCTCACAATTACTCTAAAAAGAGGGATTCTGTCCCATGAGGGGACAGAACGGCAGAGACCAGAGGGGACAAGGTGGTAGAAACATGAGGGGGAAAGATGGCAAAAACATGAGGGGAAAAGAGCAGGCAACATGAGGGGAAAATATGGCAAAACATGAGGGGAAAAGAGTAGGAAGCATGAGGGAAAAAGATGGCAAAAACATAAGGGAAAAGGCAGGAAACATGAGGGGAAAAGAGCAGGCAACGTGAGGGGAAAATATGGCAAAATATGAGGGGAAAAGAGCAGGAAACATGAGGGGAAAAGAGTGGGAAACATGAGGGGAAAAGATGGCAAAAACATGAGGGAAAAATAGCAGGAAATGTGAGGGGGAAAGATGGCAAAACATAAGGGGAAAAGAGTAGAAAACATGAGGGAAAAAGAGCAGGAAAGATGGAGGAAAAGATGGCAAAAACATGAGGGGAAAAGAGCAGGAAACGTGAGGGGAAAATATGGTAAAACATGAGGGGAAAAGAGCAGGAAACGTGAGGGGAAAATATGGTAAAACATGAGGGGAAAAGAGCAGGAAACGTGAGGGGAAAATATGGTAAAACATGAGGGGAAAAGAGCAGGAAACATGAGGGGAAAAGATGGCAAAAACATGAGGGAAAAAGAGCAGGAAAGATGGAGGAAAAGATGGCAAAAACATGGGTGGAAAAGAGCAGGAAACGTGAGGGGAAAATATGGTAAAACATGAGGGGAAAAGAGCAGGAAACATGAGGGGAAAAGAGCAGGAAACATGAGGGGGAAAGAGTGGGAAACATGAGGGAAAAAGAGCAGGAAAGGTGAGGGGAAAAGAGCAGGAAAGGTGAGGGGAAAAGATAGAAAAACATGAGGGGGAAAGGGTGGGAAACATGAGGGGAAAGATGACAAAAGCATGAGGGGAAAAGAGTAGGAAACGTGAGGGGAAAAGGTGGCAAAAAACATGAGGGAAAAAGAGTAGGAAATGTGAGGGGAAAAGGGCAGGAAACATGAGGAAAAAAGAGCAGGAAATGTGATGGGGAAAGATGGCAAAAACATGAGGGAAAGAGCAGGAAAGATGGAGGAAAAGATGGCAAAAACATGAGGGGAAAAGAGCAGGAAAGATGGAGGAAAAGATGGCAAAAACATGAGGAGGAAAGAGCAGGAAACATGAGGGGAAAATATGGCGAAACATGAGGGGAAAAGAGCCGGAAACATGAGGGGAAAAGAGCAGGAAACGTGAGGGAAAAAGATGGCAAAAACATGAGGGCGAAAGGGTGGGAAACATGAGGGGAAAGATGACAAAAGCATGAGGGGAAAAGAGTAGGAAACGTGAGGGGAAAAGGTGGCAAAAAACATGAGGGAAAAAGAGTAGGAAATGTGAGGGGAAAAGGGCAGGAAACATGAGGGGAAAAGATGGCAAAAACATGAGGGCGAAAGGGTGGGAAACATGAGGGGAAAAGGGAAAAAGAGCAGGAAACGTGAGGGAAAAAGATGGCAAAGACATGAGGGGAGAAGAGTAGGAAATGTGAGGGGAAAAGGGCAGGAAACATGAGGAAAAAAGAGCAGGAAATGTGATGGGGAAAGATGGCAAAAACATGAGGGGAAAAGAGCAGGAAACGTGAGGGAAAAAGATGGCAAAGACATGAGGGGAGAAGAGTAGGAAATGTGAGGGGAAAAGAGCAGGAAACATAGGGGAAAAGAGCGGGAACCATGAGGGGACAGAACGGCAGAGACAGGAGGGGACAAGATGAAACATGTGGGGAAACATGTTTCGTGTTAGAAACATGAGGGGAAAAGAGCGGGAAACATGAGGGGACAGAATGGCAGAGACAGGAGGGGACAAGATGGTAGAAACATGAGGGGAAAAGATGGCAAAAGCATGAGGGAAGGGAGCAGGCCGGGACGTGTCTGATGCTGCGCTGTTGGGATTGCAGGCGCTCGGTGGCCATGGCCGGGAACAGCCTGGTGCTGCCCATCGTTCTGTGGGGCCGGCGCGCCCCCACCCACTGCGTGTCCTCCCTGCTGCTCGTGGATGGCTCCGTCATCGTCACCGGCTGCCACGACGGGCAGATCTGCCTCTGGGACCTGGCTCCTGACCTGCAGGTAATGGATGCACCGTTCCCCCTCGTCCTGCCTCTCCCCATGCTTGGGTGGCTGCTCCATCCTGCCCAAAGGCTCTTGGGCTTCCTTGCTGCTCCTGCAGGAAGCTTTTTTAACTCAATCCGATTTCTTGGAGCTACTCTAAAGCAGTTGTTTTGTGGTTGAGCTGTTTAATGTTGTGCTGTGAAAAGGAGTTCCTTCCCAATATCCCATCTGGCAGTGGGGAGCCATTCCCCTTTTCCTGGCACCCTGTCCCTCTCCAGCTCTCCCTTTTGGCACTGGAAGGGGCTCTGAGGTCTCCCCTTATTTGTGGATTTATGGGAACTCAACTGGGGAAAGCTCTTAATGTGCTGCACAATCTTTTTCATTCAGCCAAACTCAGTTTAAATTGAATTGAGCCAAATTCAGCTCCTGATTTGTAAATATTGAGAGGACTGTGCAAAATGCTTTTTCCCCAAAAATTCTTATTCCTGTGTGAAGCAGAAAGTCTTCCAAGATGATCCATCCACTGCTGTGTTAATTAAACCTGTGTGCACATATTAATGCATATATACCATGAAGTAGAAAGCTGGGATATGGATATTCTGGTCATCTGCCTGATTTTGGCTCCCTGTTTTCTTTTTCCTGCTCCCAGATCAATCCCAGAGCTCTGCTCTTTGGTCATACAGCCTCAGTTACTTGTTTGTCCAAGGCCTCAGCTTCCAGTGAAAAGCAATATATAGTGAGTGCATCAGAGAGTGGGTGAGTTTCTAAGTGTTTATTACATGCAGAACTGCAGTAATGGGAATTTATGCCCGGTTTCTCCATATATTCAACGCTGTGTTTGATTTTTATCCTCAAGAGAAAATTCCTCTGCAAATACATTTTACTTTTTGATTGGTTTTATTTATTAAGCAGAGAGCAGCAGTTAAGTGGTAGAAACAGGAAGGATTTCTTGTGCAATTGATAGAGATGTTTTTTTTTTAATCCAGAAAAGCTAAGGAATTATTTGCCTAAATAACCTTTTAGCAAGGAATTTGAGTGGAGAACGTGTCAGAATTTCCATCTTGGGCTGATTTCAGGACTTAAGTAATCTCCTCCCATTGGATTTAAAACCATTCCTCAGGAATTTATCTGTCTGGTGGAAAGGAGAAATCACCTCACAGATTCTGTTCTGATGAAATCTGAAGTGTTAAATGAAAAAGTCACTCGAACTGCTGCAGGTTCTGTGATTCATCCTTGTGTGGATTTCTGAGGGCTGGAAAGCCCGGTTGCTTTTGGGTTTCTGTAACTACACTTGACCCAATCCCTAACAAACGGTTCCAGTGAAGCTCCCCCCTGGTGTGAGGGGTTTGGAGCGCTTTAAGCCGCCTGTTTTCCCTGTGTTCCAGCGAGATGTGCCTGTGGGATGTGAACGACGGGCGCTGCATCGAGTTCACCAAGCTGGCCTGCGCGCACACGGGCATCCAGGTGAGGCCGGGAGCGGGCAGCGCCCTCTGCAGGCGGGGCTGGGGTGCCATTTCATCCCTGTCCTGCACGGGTTCTGACCCGGGTTTGCTCCCGTCCCTGCAGTTCTATCAGTTCACAGTCGGCACGCAGCGCGAAGGGAGGCTCCTGTGCCACGGGCACTATCCTGAAATTCTGGTCGTGGATGCTGCCAGCCTGGAGGTTCTTTACTCTCTGATATCCAAGATCTCTCCTGACTGGATCAGCTCCATGGCCGTCATCCGCTCCAACAGGACACAAGGTGATTGTTTCTGGTGGCAGGGACGCCTTCCTCTTGTCCCGGGCTGCTCCAAGCCCCGTCCAGCCCAGCCACAGCTGCTCTGGGAATCCTGCTGCACGGGCTGCAGTGTCACCTGAGCACACACTGGGCTGCTTCTGCTCCTTGGTGTTAATTCAGTTGCTGGCAGACAAGTGTCTTGTTGGGCTGTTCCTGTCGTGGAGATTGGAATTCCTGAGAGGTTTGGGGAGCACTGAGGAGAAAATCCTGACTAAAGGACTCCTCTCTTGTGTCAGGGCTCAGCAACTGGGCATTCCCAAAATCCTGGGGTGGGAAAGCTCGGCTCTTATCCCCACAACAAATAAATTGCTGGGACAACTGGAAATGAGCTCTCGGGGTTTCTCAGATGCGCACGGGTGAGGAGCTCTCTGTGCCTCAGGCTCATTTTGTGTTTCCCAGAGGACACTGTCGTGGCTGTGTCCGTGACTGGCATCCTGAAAGTCTGGATCATCACCTCGGAAGTCAGTCGGATGCAGGTAGGCACAGGCTGCTGGATTCGTGACCCTCCCCGTGGGTTTCCTCATAGTCTGCTCCTGATATTTTCCTCTTTGCCAGTGGATACTGAATTTTCCTTGACTGATTCAAGTTGCTGAGCTCTCTTTCTGTTTGCTCAGGACACCGCCCCGGTGTTCGAGGAGGAGTCCAAGCCCATCTACTGCGAGAACTGCCAGAGCATTTCCTTCTGCGCCTTCACGCAGCGCTCGCTCCTCGCCGTGTGCTCCAAGTACTGGAGGGTAAGGCCTCCACTGAACATCCAGGTGAAGGTGCTCCAAGTCTCTTCAGCCTACCTCTGCACTGAAATATGCGTGTTTTTAATTTAAATGCACGCATATTTCACGTATTTCTGGGTATTGAATCCAAATCTCCGCCCGTGGCGCAGCTTTGGAGCAAGGTGGACCTTAAGGTCTTTAACAACCCAAACCGTTCCGTGATTCTGTGATACCGAGCCCAAAATCAGCTGCTGCCTGGGCATTTTGATGTGTGATTAATTGGTTAATAACAGTAGATTTTGTTCCCCTTTCAGGTCTTCGATGCTGGAGATTATTCGCTCTTGTGTTCAGTGCCCAGTGAAAACGAGCAGACCTGGACTGGTGGGGACTTTGTGGCAGCTGATAAAGTGATTGTATGGACAGAGGATGGACAAAGTTTCATCTATAAATTACCAGCCAGGTACTCAACAGAAAAATACCTCCTTTGTTTAATTTTTGATTGTTTTGAATGGAATTGATTGGAGAACTACTGAAATATCGGTCCAGTAAGGGAAGACACGTAAATGTAAAGCTATAAAATGAATTCAAAATTTGGCAACAAAGAAGTTAAAAATGACAGGTGTAAAATCAAAGGGTTTCTTTGTGACATCTTCGTGGTGTGCAGGTGTGTTTGTTCTGTGTTTTATCTTGAATATTCCCACATAAATCATGTGGGAGCTCCTTCCTTGCCCTCCCATCATCAGAGCATGAGGATGGGAGCAGCACCCCGTGTCCTACTGCAGGAATCACTCTTTAAATGCTAGGAATTCTATTATTATAAACTTATGATGATCTCCTCTCTCTGTTCCTGCACCCAGCTGCCTCCCAGCCAGCGATTCGTTCCGCAGGGACGTGGGGAAGGCGGTGGAGAACTCGATCCCACCTTTGCTGTACAGCGTGTTGGACAGAGCAGAGAAACAGGTGAATCTCTTTTTTTGGGGAGCTTTTTAGGGGGGAGGGGGGCGTGCCAGGTTTTGTCCTGCTTTGAAAGGAAGGAAGCTTGGGGCTGAGCACGTGCTCGGTGCGTGGTCTGAGGTCCTTCCTTCTTTTTCAAACAGCTCCTAATATGTCCTCCAGTGACTCGCTTCTTCTGTGGCCAGAGAGAGTTCTCCTACAGGCTCCTGATCCAGGGGGACTCCTCGGGGAGGCTGTGCATTTGGAGCGTGCCCGACGCCCTCGACCGGCAGGAGGGCGCGAAAGGTACCTCATGAACGGCCAGATCTTTGCGTGTTTGCGCTGATAAAGCCGCGCTGCTTCTCCCACGGATCGTGGAGTTCAATCGTTACCTCCTTGCAGGACTCGTGATACCTCCATCTTAGCAGATATTAGAAGATTCTCTTCTCTCCCAGAAGAGAATCCCTCCGTGGGTTGGGGCGACCTTAAATATCCAATTCCAGCTGCCGGCGCCTCCCGCCGGGCGCGGTTCCTCAGATCCTCCCAGCTCAGCCCAGGTGTTTGTCCTTTCTCCTTTCCCAGGCCTGCAGACGACCACGTCCAGGTCGCTGCAGGAGGCCTTCGACCAGCTGAGCCCGCGGCCCGCGGGGATCATCGACCAGCTGAGCGTGGCGGCCAACGCCGGCGAGCCGCTGCGCGTCACCGCCAGCGTCTACATGCCGGCCCACGGGCGCCTGGTGTGCGGCCGCGAGGACGGCAGCATCGTCATCGTGCCGGCCACGCAGACCGCCATCGTGCAGCTGCTGCAGGGCGAGCACATGCTGCGCCGAGGTACGGCATGCAGGGGTGGGAACTCAGCGATCTGCTGCCACGGTGCAGCTGCTGCAGGGCGAGCACGTGCTGCGCCGAGGTACGGCATGCAGGGGTGGGAACTCAGCGATCTGCTGCCACGGTGCAGCTGCTGCAGGGGGAGCACGTGCTGTTCCAAGGTATGGCATGCACGGGTGGGAACTCAGCGATCTGCTGCCACGGTGCAGCTGCTGCAGGGGGAGCACATGCTGCGCCGAGGTACGGCATGCGCGGGTGGGAACACGGAAACCTGCTGCCACGGTGCAGCTGCTGCAGGGGGAGCACGTGCTGCGCCGAGGTAGGGCATGCACAGGTGGGAACTCAGCGATCTGCTGCCACGGTGCAGCTGCTGCAGCTGCTCCAAGGTATGGCACAGGGAGCAGCAGGAAGCCCAGCAATCTGCTGCACCTTTCTGTGCTGGCAGTGACCCAGTGAGCTCAGTTTGGGTATTTCTGCGGCGTTTTGGGACGCAGGGGCAAAGATAAGGTCCAGGATTGTTCCTGGCACCGCAGTGCTGGGTGCTGACACGCCAGGAGAAGTCTCAGTGGGAAAAACCTGCCAGGGTTCTGGTGGGATCCTTGTGTTGTGCTTGGGCTCTCTTGGATGCGTGGGCTCTGTGTAACGTTACCTTCACAGTTTGTGGCTCTGAGTTGCAGCACAAACACTTTGTGTGCGTCGATTGCCTGTTGAATTTCTGTTTTTCCCCTCTTTTTCTGTGCTTTTGCCCCCGCTGTCCAGGCTGGCCCCCTCACCGGACGCTCCGCGGCCACCGGAACAAGGTGACGTGTCTGCTGTACCCTCACCAGGTGTCCTCCCGCTACGACCAGAGGTACCTGATCTCAGGAGGGGTGGATTTCTCCGTCATCATCTGGGATATCTTCTCGGGAGAGATGAAACATGTCTTCTGCGTCCACGGCGGAGAAATCACCCAGCTGCTCGTTCCGCCGGAAAACTGCAGTGTAAGTTGTCGGGGATAACCCTTGAGGCACCTCAGTGCTCCTTGAGATTGGGAATGCAGCAAGGAATGCTGGGGATGTGTCACTGATTAAACCTATTAAAATAGGGTTTAGAGACAATTCTGCCTTTTGGAACTTAGCTCCTTGATTGACAAAGTCATTGATTGACAACTCTGGGGTTTGCTTAGCGAAACGGGGTTTAATACCCATTTTCTCTTTGTGATGTGCAAAGGGTGGATTAAAGGGAATTTCTGTTCCCAGTGACCTCAGCCAGTTTGAACATCGATGCAGGTGCCTGAGTTTTGTGCATGAAAGAGGCTTTTGGTCACCCTGCTCTGCCCAGCGAAAAGGTTTTTAATAATACCAGCTCTGCATCGTGACTGAGCTTTTTCTCTCTTTTCCTTCATTAGGCCAGAGTCCAGCACTGTGTTTGCTCCGTTGCCAGCGATCACTCCGTGGGTCTGCTGAGCCTGAGGGAGAAGAAGTGCATCATGCTGGCGTCCCGCCACCTCTTCCCAATCCAGGTGATCAAGTGGAGGCCGTCCGATGACTACCTGGTGGTGGGCTGCTCCGACGGCTCCGTGTACGTCTGGCAGATGGACACCGGTGAGCTCGGGGGCGTCGGCGAACCCCCTGGAAACGCGGGGGAAACCCCCCCTCCTCCAGTCGCAGCCGGGGGGGTGCTGAGCTGTCCCCGTCCCCGTCCCCGCCGCAGGGGCGCTGGACCGCTGCGCGATGGGCATCGCGGCCGTGGAGATCCTCAGCGCCTGCGACGAGGCCGTGCCGGCCGCCGTGGACGCGCTCGGCCACCCCGCCGTCAACCTGAAGCAGGCCATGACCCGCCGAAGCCTGGCCGCCCTCAAGAACGTGGCCCACCAGAAGCTGCAGACCCTGGCCACCAACCTGCTGGCCTCTGAGGCCTCGGACAAGGTGGGCGCTCCCGGAAAGGAAATGAAACGTGGGAGGTTTCCGTCCTCGGAGCCGGGATTTTCTCAGCCACAACGTAAACGCGGCCCTTCCACAGTTTGTGTTGCTGGTAGCGCTCGGTGTGTAGCCTGCTCTCAAGTCCGAGTGTTCCCCAGCGCTGCCGAGGCCAGCACTGTGCCACGGCTTTAATTCCCCCCAGGCGTGGGGTGTGCACCCCTGCCCTGGCTTCGGACAGCCCATTCCATGAGGAGCCGTTCCCAGTGTCCGGCCCAGAGCTCCCCTGGCACAGCCTGTGGCCGGCAGAGAGCAGCAGAGCTCCATTCCCAGCCTCTCTGGTGCATCCCCGGTGTGCTCTCACCTTCTGTTGGGAGAGAAATCACCGCCAGCGTGTCTCCATAAAAAAATGTCTGCTCAGGGTTTCTGCTGCTGCTCCTGCTGGATCCGGGCCTCCTCATCCAGTGAGGGTGCTGGGAGTCAAGGGCTTAGGGGGATTAATGTTCTGGTTTCTGACATTCTTCAGCTTTTTTCCCCTCAGCACCTTCATTCCCTGCCTCCTCCCTTGCGAGGAAGAGGATGGACTGAAGGGGAGTGAATCTGAGCTGCTGCTTTTCCAGCGGCACATATTGATCCAAGTTCACCCTCCAAATATGAAATATTTAATGTGTTCTAAGCTTAATTACAGTTTTGCTGTTGCTTGGAATATAACTGCACTCTCACAGGGTTGAGGAGAAGGAAGTGTGAACCCGTGCCTCACCTGGAGAGCTCCCTTTACCTACAGACCCCCGTAAATTGAATTTCTGTGCTTTGTGGCTGCGTCCCAAACTCGCCACACCCGCAGCTTCCCCGCCGGAAATCCCATTTCTCTCTCTCGCTCCCCAGGGCAACTTACCCAAATACTCCCACAACTCCCTGATGGTTCAGGCCATCAAGACGAACCTGACGGACCCCGACATCCACGTGCTGTTCTTCGACGTGGAGGCGCTGATCATCCAGCTGCTGACGGAGGAGGCGGCGCGGCCCAGCGCGGCGCCGGCGTCCCCGGGGAGCCCGCGGAAAGCGCCCGGCGGCGCCGACAAGGGCGGCTCCTTCCTCGCCGGCAAGCGCGCCGCCGTGCTCTTCCAGCAGGTCAAGGAAACCATCAAGGAGAACATCAAGGAGCACCTCCTGGACGACGAGGACGAGGACGAGGAAGGCGCCAGGCGCGGGAGAGAAGAGGGCGACCCGGAATATCGTTCCAGCAAATCCAAGCAGCTGACCCTGCTGGAGTACAACCTCACCATGGACACGGCCAAGCTCTTCATGTCCTGCCTGCACGCCTGGGGCCTGAACTCGGTGCTGGACGAGCTGTGCCTGGACCGCCTGGGCATGCTGAAGCCTCACTGCTCCGTGTCCTTCGGCCTCGTGTCGCGGGGCGGCCACATGTCCCTGATGCTGCCCGGCTACAACCGGCCCGTGGGCGGGGCGGCCCCGCAGGAGCTGGGCAGGAAGATGTCGGTGACCGAGGGCCTGGGCAAGGGCACCTACGGCGTGTCGCGGGCCGTCACCACGCAGCACCTGCTGTCCGTCATCTCCCTGGCCAACACGCTGATGAGCATGACCAACGCCACCTTCATCGGGGAGCACATGAAGAAAGGCCCCACCAGGTACGTGGAGCTGGGTTTTTTGGGAGGGGGGTTTGCCTGCTGGTGGAGAGGACGGCTGCAGCTGATGTGTCTCACGTTTAGGCCACCCAGGCCGGGCACCCCCGAGGCGGCCAAGGTGAAGCCGGCCCCTCCCGCAGCAGCAGCAGCAGCAGCGCAAGGGCAAATCAAACAAGGTAAAAAGCGCTTCCTCCGGGGTCTGTTACAGCAGCTCGTTGTGCTGAATTTAACACCTTGTTGTCCAGAGATAAGGTGACTGCAGGGAGGACAGAGCGACGCGGTAAAGTAGTGTTAATGACCGTGAAATTGCTGGGGATTAGCTCTTGGTTAAGAGCCACAAAACGCTGATTCTGCCTTGACACCATTCCCTGACAAGGAATTTTTATCCTGTTTCGAGTGCTGATTCTGCCTTGACACCATTCCCTGACAAGGAATTTTTATCCTGTTACGAGTGCTGATTCTGCCTTGACACCATGCCCTGACAAGGAATTTTTATCCTGTTACGAGTGCTCCCAAACATCCTGGCTTCGAGGAGGCTTTAAAGCCTGGAGCTAAAGGCTCTACAGATTCACCCCAAAGTGTTTCTGAGGGAATGATCCCAAAGTTTCCGTGGGAACGATCCCAGCTCAGTGCCAGGATCACTCCTTGGCTGGCTGGAACTCCTCACGTTGGAAAAGAGAGAGACACCCCAGCAAAGCCAGGCAAAAAACTCTGGAGTGAAGCTTTAGTTTCAGTCTGGGGTGGATTTGATGGGAGTTTTTTTCCATCTTGGTGAAATGGGAGTTTCCAAAATATATGTCTCTTAGGTTCCAGGCCTGAATTTGTGTCCTTCTCCTTTAGGCTTTTTGGCGTTTCTGTGGTAAAGAGTTCTATTTTTTTGCCCAGAAGTCCGTTTAAAAACAAAGTTAAATTCCAGCCACAACTCAGGAATTCATCCTGGACATCTTGGAGTGACAGACGGGGCAGCTTGGGCTGATTAAGGTTTATTTTTTTGGCCCTTTGGTTCTATTTTTTTGCCCAGAAGTCCATTTAAAAACAAAGTTAAATTCCAGCCAGAACTCAGGAATTCAGACGGGGCAGCTTGGGCTGATTAAGGTTTATTTTTTTGGCCCTTTGGTGCGCAGTACAACTTCCAAATCTATGGAAGTATGGGAAAAGCACAAGGAGAAGCAGCAAAATTCCTGGGTTTCTAACTTCCAGTCAAGTGTGAAGTCAAACCAAAGCCACCTGCCTAAAAACATGTTTAAAATCACTTAATTTAGATGTATTTTGGTCTTTTCAAAGCATCCCAGTTTCTCTCACTGTCTCCTGCATGCGTGCCTCTTCCTTCTTGGAAAACCTGGAATTCTCATGAAGTTAGATATTATTTTGAGTTGAATATTATTTTGAAGCTTTTAAGTTGAAGATCATCACAGCCTCCCCTCGTTTTCCATTCTGCAGTGATACTAACCCCTTTTCTGCTGCTGCTCTCCTCACTTCCCTCTTTTTTTTTTTTTTTTCTCTCTCTTTCATTTCTTCTTCCCTCTGCAAGTCGCTCCTGCTGCTGCTTCCAGCACGGAATCTGGCCACTCTGACACTTCTGCTTTCCATTCCTGTTTCTTAGTCAACGAAGGTATTCCTTCCTCACTTTTCTACTTGTCCTTTACTTCAGCTAAAATCCTTTCTCATTGTTATTTTCATTTGATTTCTCCTTCGGGCACGGGAGTACCTGGGGTAGGCTTTTAACCGAGTTTCACACCGCTCAAATCTTGAGTTTTGCAGTTGATTTGAACACAGGGGATATTTTTACACTCTTGTGTCGTTTGAACTCTGCATTTCTCTCCTGCTTTAACCTACAGCAGGATTAAAAAAAGGTGGAATAAGGCCAGCTGTGCTCGGGTTTATTTGCACATTGCAAACGAGCACACACCGAGGGTGGCAGCCAGCTGTGCTCGGGTTTATTTGCACATTGCAAACGAGGCCGCTGCAGGGGTGGGTTTGCCGTGCCTGGGGGATGCAGCAGGAGCAGGGGCTGCATTCCTCACTGCCTCTGCTACCCCCCTGCAGGCTGGAGCCAGCTGGCTGCCATGCACTGCGTGATGCTGCCCGACCTGCTGGGGCTGGAGAAGTTCCGGCCGCCGCTGCTGGAGATGCTGGCCCGAAGGTGGCAGGATCGCTGCCTGGAGGTGAGCTCAGCCTGCTTTGGGGCTGAATGTGTGAAACAGCCACCCAGTTCACTGCCAGGGGATGTTTTGTGGTTAAAACCCCTGCGAGGAACGGCGTGAAGTCTGTGGTGTTTGTGTGGTTTGTGACCCTCTGGGGTTGATGCCTTGAGAGGTGCCTGGATAGAGTTAAAGGAGTAAAGTAGGGATTTATTAAAAGGCCTCATTGGATACACTCCAGATCGTGAGTTTTCATCCTTTTTTAAGTTTTGGTCCATTTCCATATGGGGATCAATTGTTCAATTCCAGCTCCAGGTGATGCATCCTCCCAGTTTGCTCTTTTCTATTCCCTGTTGTTTGTACTTCATGGGCCTGAAGCTGCAATGGTCCTTGGTGCTGGGGCTGGAAAAGGATTGTTTTATGTGACTGAACTCTGAAGAGAACTTGCTAACTCTTCATAAGAAGTTCAGAGTTACACACCAATGCAGGATGTGGAAAGCATGAAAGCTAAAACTGAACGCATCACAACTCTTTGTGCTGGAAGAGTCCTGCTGGAAGAGTTCCCAGTTAAAGCCCGGTTTAACCCTGTCAGGAATGGCTCTAAACCTTGGTGCCTGTGTGTTTGTGACCCCTGGGGCTGTGTCTGTGCCCTGCTGTGACCCTGGGCTGTGTCTGTGCCCTGCTGTGACCCTGGGCTGTGTCTGTGCCCTGCTGTGACCCTGGGCTGTGTCTGTGCCCTGCAGGTGCGGGAGGCGGCGCAGGCGCTGCTGCTGGGATGGTTCCCAGTTAAAGCCCAGTTTAACCCTGGCTCTAAACCTTGGTGCCTGTGTGTTTGTGACCCCTGGGGCTGTGTTTGTGCCCTGCTGTGACCCCAGGAGCTGTGTCTGTGCCCTGCTGTGACCCCTGGGCTGTGTCTGTGCCCTGCTGTGACCCCAGGAGCTGTGTCTGTGCCCTGCTGTGACCCCTGGGCTGTGTCTGTGCCCTGCTGTGACCCCAGGAGCTGTGTCTGTGCCCTGCTGTGACCCTGGGCTGTGTCTGTGCCCTGCAGGTGTGGGAGGCAGGCGCTGCTGCTGGGATGGTTCCCAGTTAAAGCCCGGTTTAACCCCGTCAGGAATGGCTCTAAACCTTGGTGCCTGTCTGTTTGTGACCCCTGGGCTGTGTCTGTGCCCTGCTGTGACCCCTGGGAGTGGTGTTTGCTGCCCTGCAGGTGCGGGAGGCGGCGCAGGCGCTGCTGCTGGCCGAGCTGCGCAGGATCGAGCAGGCGGGCCGCAAGGAGACCATCGACACCTGGGCCCCCTACCTGCCCCAGTACATGGACAGTGTCATCTCCCGTAAGGAACTGCCCCTCAGCTGGGAAAGTGAGGGGGGAAAGGGGCTGGGAACCCTGGGAAAGGGATTGGGAACCCCTCATCACAGTCATCCACTGAAGGACAGGGTCTGGGAACCCCTCATCCCAGTCATCCATCCTGGGACAAGGATTGGGAACCCTCATTCCAGTCATCCATCCTGGGAAAGGGATTGGGAACCCTCATCCCAGTCATTCATTGGGAACCCCTCATTCCAGTCATCCATCCTGGGAAAGGGATTATGGACAGTGTCATCTCCCGTAAGGAACTGCCCCTCAGCTGGGAAAGTGAGGGGGGAAAGGGGCTGGGAACCCTGGGAAAGGGATTGGGAACCCCTCATCACAGTCATCCATCCTTGGAAAGGGATTGGGAACCCCAGTCCCAGTCATCCATCCTGGGAACCCCAATTCCAGTCATCCATTGAGGGAAAGGGATTGGGAACCCCTCATCAAAGTCATCCATCCTGGGAAAAGGATTGGGAACCCTCATCCCAGTCATCCATCCTGGGACAAGGATTGGGAACCCCAATTCCAGTCATCCATTGAGGGAAAAGGATTGGGAACCCCTCATTCCCAGTCATCCATCCTGGGAACCCCTCATTCCAGTCATCCATCCTTGGAAAGGGATTGGGAACCCTCATCCCAGTCATCCACTGAGGGAAGGGGGATTGGGAACCCCTCATCCCAGTCATCCATCCTGGGAACCCCAATTCCAGTCATCCATCCTTGGAAAAGGGATTGGGAACCCCTCATCACAGTCATCCATCCTGGGACAGGGATTAGGAACCCCACATTCTCAGAATGATCTTTTTTCCCCTGAAAATGTTCCTCTGTTATTCACCAGCTGATTTTAGAGTGTCCTATCCTAGTATGAAATCTTAATGGGAGATGTTAGGATGTGGTTTGAGTTTCTCTGGGCTCAGTTAGAGTGGAAATCATTCCAGTGGGTCAAAAATTTGGGTTAGGTTTTTATGGTAAGTGTTGCAACTCCTGGAATTAAGGATACAGAGCTGGAAGAATTGAAGGGAATAAGATATAACAAATATATCCTGCTAGGAGAGGGAGGAACATAGGAAAGATAAAGAAATATTATTTATTGTAGCTCCTTTCTGCCCAGAAATCACCTGTGGGTTCTTCTTCCTGAAATTCTCTTCGTTTGGGTGGACTGTGGTTTGTTTTTTAGGGAACACCTGCGGTGTGGCAGCAGAAAATGGAAGGGATTTGATGGTTCTCTGAATGCTGGGACACCTCCCACCAGCCCAGGGTGCTCCAGACCAACCTGGGACACTCCCAGGATGGGGAATTAACCCCTGGAAAACCAAATAAAAATCAAACGTTGCTGTTTGTGGATGAGGTTGAGCATCCTGTGCGAGGTTGGAGGTGAAGGAGCCAGAGCAAGGCAGGGGTTGGAGGAGTGACATGAGGTTTGGCCGCTGCACAAAGAGGGAATTGTGATTTTGGGGGTTGTCCCTGCAGCTGGAGTGACCACAGAAGCCCTTCAGAGCTCGAGTGCCACCCCAGATCCCTCAGGAGCAGAAGCCAAAGCCCAGGAGGAGGAGCACGACCTGGTGGACGATGACATCGCAGCGGGTGAGCTCTCGGGTCATTAACACCGCCAGGATAATTAATGGGTCTCCATTTCACCACTCTGGGGGCTCTTAAACCTGCCCACAGCCAGCAGCAATCCTTCAAAAATACAGCGATTCTTTGTCGTTGTTCCCTAATTCATTTATTCTGATTTAAGGGTGCCACAGAGCCTGAATTTTTGGGTTCAAAGTTTGGGAGAGTAGAGGGAAAAATAAGAATTTTGAGACAGCTTCACCTCAGTTTCTTTCTCTGATGGACCAATATTTGTAATGAACTCCAAAGTGATTTGTTCTTTGTTCTGTGTGATATTACAACTGTTTCTCAAATCCCATTCCTGCACATAAAAAAAAAAACCCAAAAAGTGTGAGGTTTTTTAAATTTTATTTGGGCTGTAACTACTCCAAATCAAGTCTTGCTCATCACTGTTTGTTCCTGTTGGGAAGTTGTCACTAAAGTTCAAATCCAGTTTATTTAAGTGTTAAATATCATTGCTCTCAAGGCTCTTTATATTGAGATTCCATTAACATTAAACAGATCTTTAAAAAATTGAGATTCTCATCCCTTAAATGTAAATATCATTGCTCTAAAGGCTCTTTATATTGAGATTCCATTAACATTAAACAGATCTTTAAAAAATTGAGATTCTCATCCCTTAAATGTCCCCTCTGAGGGAAATTTTAATGGATGGGCCCAGTGCTTTAAAACCTGGATAAAAGGTGCCTGACATTCCCCATGTGAGCAGCACAGGATCCATTTTGTCTCTGCCTATTTCCCTGGAAAAGGCTGCAGCATCCTCACCCATTTTGTGTTCCCAGATGCTGCAGCACAGTGAAATACTCCCTCTTAAATTCCAGAAAATTCCAGTAAACTGCAAAAATACTCATTTGATGCGCGGAAAAGCCCATCTTCTACCTGCAATTAAAGAAATTAGGTTGTAATTTCTAATGCATGGCAACTCCCAGCACTTGAAGAGCTCTGCTGTTAAATTCTTCCCCATTTAGAACTGCAGATACTCCAGAGCAATGATTCTGTCCACGCTGTTCGTTATTAGAATTGAGTAATTGGCACCGAATTACGTAACAGAGGATGGGCTGTGAGGGAGAAATTCCCAAAATTCTCTCGGTGTGGGCCCTCGCAGGCAGGAATTCCGTGCAGCTCCCTTCCCTGGGGGCTGGCAGAGGGCGCTGTGCACCCAGGAATGCCCAACCTTGGAGTAAGCCCGGCTTTAATTAAACATCCTCCTGTTTTCCTGCATTTTCCTTGCGGTCACCACCACCAGACAACATTTCCCCTTCTGATTTATTTGGAGAGAGTCCTCACAAGTCTCTCTCTGTGCTTTGAGCAAATAATTTATCCGTGTGAAATCTCTTGCTCCCAGTATTATTTCCAGGTGCTGTTTTATGCAGATGAGTCAATCCCCTGTGCTGAGCCTGCTGGAAGCGTTGTGTGGCTGCCCACCCCTGGAGAATTCCAGAAGATTCTCTGGGGCTGGGCAGGGATTTGGTGGGTCAGGTCGGATTTTAGGGGGGCTCCTGGCTCTGCAGCAGGGCAGCCCCCTCAGAGCACACCTCTCCTTAACCCACGGATTCCTCTGCCAGCTCCACCTGGACGACTTACCCTGCCTTTAATCCTTTTATTGTAAGCTGGGCTGAAATTAATTTTGCCCCAGAATTGTGCAAAGCCAATTAAGAGGAGTGTTAACCGCAGCCTGACCTCAGCTCCAGCATCTCCCCAGGCTGCAAAACCACGGGAATTTGGGAGCTTTCCCACCCTGCTCTTCTCTGCTGGGATGGACCTTTGAGGATTGGTTTGTCTGCAGCAACCTCAGCTGGGGTTTTTTCCCTCGGTTTTTGTCCTCCTGCTAACCCTAAGCCCAGGTGTGAAGGCTGCTCCCTGCACTAAGGGTTAACTGCTGCTGCTGCAGTCCCTGCATGCATGGCTGCATGGCTGCAGGGCAGGTGCCTGGCAGGGTGTGGAGCATCCTGCAGCTTTCTGAGCCCGCGACAGTGCTGGCCACCTCCAGCTGCTCCTGCCCTGCTTTGTTCCAGCCCCTGTGCATCGTGCTTCCTCCAAAGGCAGTTGCTATCGATTTTTTTCCCTTTTTTTTCCCCTCCCTCCCTTCCCATTGTTAAGCTTTCTCTTGTTTTTCTCTCCCTTTTGGCTGGCCACGGCTCCTAAAATTTGGTTAAGCTTCCTTCTTTTGCTCTGGAGCCCCGTGGATGTCGTGAACAGAGACACCCCCTGCTCTTCATTAATCCACCCTTCATTAATCCACCCTTCATTAATTAATCCACCAGCCTCGTCCCATCTCCTCAGCAAACAGCACTTGGGAAGGATTAAAACTTCCTTCTGCTTTGGTACAAATGGTAGGGAATTTGCCAGGATGCTGGAAACCAACATCTAGGTGAGAGTGGACTTCATTTGTCAGTAAATCACTGAGGTTTTGTTCCAACAACTGCTTCAAAGATTTTGGGATTTTGAGCAAGCAAACCTGGAAATTAGGGAGTTTGCTGGTGACTTTTTTTCCCCATGAGTTCTTGGCAGGTTTTGAAGGAAGAAGAAGAACATTGGTGATGTTCTTGGCAGGTTTTGAAGGGATGTTTTGAGGTTTTAGAGGTGAATGGAATCCCGTCCATGCCTGAAATCCCTGGTGTTCCCAAGGACGTGGTCAACGCCGTTTGTGCCACGATGCCATTGGCAATTGGTGATGTTCTTGGCAGGTTTTGAAGGAAGAAGAACACTGGTGGTGTTCTTGGCAGGTTTTGAGGGGACATTTTGAGGTTTTAGCGGTGAACGGAATCCTGTCCATGCCTGGAACCCCGGTGTTCCCAAGGCCGCGGTTGATGCCATAATGCCGTTAGCAATTGGCGATGTTCTTGGCAGGTTCTTGGCAGGGTTTGAGGGGACATTTTGACGGTTTAGAGGTGAACGGAATCCTGTCCATGCCTGGAACCCCGGTGTTCCCAAGGACGCGGTTGATGCCATGATGCCGTTAGCAATTGGTGATGTTCTTGGCAGGTTCTTGGCAGGTTTTGAAGGAAGAAGAACACTGGTGGTGTTCTTGGCAGGTTTTGAGGGGACATTTTGAGGTTTTAGAGGTGAACGGAATCCCGTCCACGCCTGGAACCCCCGGTGTTCCCAAGGACGCGGCCGACGCCGCGATGCCGTAGGCGACGCCGACGTTTCCTTGGCGTTGCAGCACTAACAGAGCTCTGGGCTCTCCTGCAGGCTGCCTGGCGGGGCTGCCCCAGCCCAAGAAGGTGTCCACGTCCTACGAGGAGCGGCGCAAGCAGGCCACGGCCATCGTGCTGCTGGGCGTCATCGGCGCCGAGTTCGGCGCCGAGATCGAGCCGCCCAAGCTGCTGACGCGGCCCCGCAGCTCCAGCCAGATCCCCGAGGGCTTCGGCCTCACCAGCGGGGGATCCAACTACTCCCTGGCCAGGCACACGTGTGAGTACCCCCGGGGCTGGGATGATTTGTCACCTCCCACTGGCCCAGGCTGCTCCCAGCCTGGCCTGGAGCAATTCCAGATGGGAGGTGGTTGTAACTGGGGGGGGAAAAAACAAAAAAAATCTGGTCACCATTATACAAAAAAAACAAGTGATTTTACATTTAGGCCTGAAAATATCTTGGTTTGATACCTGAGAGAAAGTATGGAGTAAAAATAAAAGAATAAAAATTCACTGGGCCAAGAGCAGAAAGGGATGAAGGGAATTTTAGCCCAGCTCTCCAAATTTCTGTCTCTCTGTGGGCAATCAGGGAAAAAAAAAAACCATCTAACACAATCAAGTTAAATCCTATTCTTGGAGTCCATCATTTGGATTTAGCTGGATCTTGATCAGAGTTCTCAGTGTCTCATTCCTGCCTGGGCTATTGATTTTCCCGAGCAAATAATTTCATTTTTTAAAATCCATTGGCAAACTGGGGATAACAAGGCTGCCTGGAGCCCTGTGCTCAGAGAAATCCCACAGCAAGGAGAGACATTTTGGGAATGCAGGGCCTTCTGTGCAGTGACAATAAAGTGATAAACATCAGCATTTGGGCACATCTGGGTTAATAAAGCCATAGCAGGAGCGAATGTGCCGATGCAGAATGAAACACCTGGAATAAAATTCTCCTTTAACACCACTTCAGGTGGGAATGGCATTCCCTGGGCTGCCTGAGGAGCTGTCCCAGTGCATTTTTGTGTGGAGAACACATCGTGCAGCCCTGCTGCTTGAGCTTTTCCAGGGCTAATTACCTCGTCTGCCCGACTCGAACGTGACACGTTTATTGCCCTAACGAACAACTCATTAGCGCGGGATGTTTTTGTCAATATTCATTCCTTCCCTTAAACAAAGCTGTCCCTGGCACCTTTGGGTCAGGGTGCTGAGGGCACAGGGCAGCACTTTTGTAAGGATCGGGGTCGGAGGCAGACGGCAGGAAGGAATTTTGGGGGGCTGCTCCGCAGGGATCGGGATGGGCTGGCGTGAATCAGCTGGGAAAAACTCCGTTGGCTTTTCCCTAAAAACAACAGGAGGCTTGTTTAATAAACAAAACAACTTGTTGAGGACAGTTCAAGAAAAAAAACCTGATAAAATCAGCAATTATCTTTACCGCAAGAAGCGGTATTGAGGGGTAATAAATAATGATGGAGAGATAATGCCAAATTATAGGCAGGCTGCTTGGCTCAGCCCTCCTCCATTTATGCTTAAGTAATTGCTTTAATTTAAAGGTGGGCCGTTAAATGCAATATTAACAAGCATTCCCAAAATGTGCAGACCCTGGATGGGGTGGTTCAGGATCCGTGAAGTCATTTGAGATGTTTCTCTCTCTCTGGGACTCGGGGCTGTTCAGGCACGTCCACTTGTCCTGTTTTCCCGGCAGGAAATTTCTCAGCGGCGCGGATTTGGCACGGGGAGCGCGGGGGCGGCTTGGATGCCTTGGGCTGGGGGAAGGCGTCACTGCCCGTGGCAGGGGTGGCACGGGTGGCACGGGTGGCACGGGTGGCACTGACACTGACCGTCCCCGGCAGGCAAGGCGCTGACGTTCCTGCTGCTGCAGCCGCCCAGCGCGCGGCTCCCGGCGCACAGCACCATCCGCCGCACCGCCATCGACCTCATCGGCCGCGGCTTCACCGTCTGGGAGCCCTACATGGACGTGTCGGCCGTGCTCATGGGGCTGCTGGAGCTCTGCGCCGACGCCGAGAAGCAGCTGGCCAAGTGGGTACCGCCGCGGCCAGCCCTGGCCTTGGGGGGGACAAGGAAGATGGAGGCCGGGGGTAGCCGGGTGTTGGAAAGGGGAGATGTGCCTGCCCCATCCCCGAAGCGTCCAAGGTTAGGTTGGGCAAAGCCTGGAGGAGCTAGGGGACGGTGTCCCCCACCCGTGGCGTCCCTAAGGTTCCTTTCAACCCACACAATTCCGTGAAATATTTGTTGGCAAACACAGAGCCTGCAATAGGGAGCTGCCCTGAAATGCGTTTCCGCATCCGTCCGTCTTGAGGTCAGTCACTTCTGACACGATTCTGAGGTAGACATTGCCCATTTTATAGAAGTTTTCGTTTCCTCAACGTACAAAGAATGAATCCTTGCCCTGTGTTGGCAGCAGAAATAGGGACAAATTGGATTAGCATTGTTTTTTCTCTGAACTCCAGTTGTGCCTTGTAGTGTGACAGGAGGCACCAGCACCTTGTCCCTTCCTAAGCCCCGTTTCATGCAAACCCTGACTTCCAGGATCCGAGTGACCACAGCTCTTCAGCTGGTGTGATTCCACCCTTAGCTGTCAGGAAGATTAGTCTGCCTCTCCCTCCAAAGAGCAGGGAATAAATGAAGGGATCAGCGTGGAGCCTTGAGGAGCCCGGCGCAATTTTCCTCGTGATAAATTGCATAATGAGCGCGAAAGCGTTCGCTTATTAATCCATAACAAGATTTAGATTGAAAATGGCCTGTTACGTTCCTGACAGACCCAGGATGGAGGGAGATGGAAAGAAATGGAGCAACAATGTGTGCAGGGGTTAAGTGTGGATCTCACCCCGCCGGAGCCCCGCTGAGCTCCCGCTTTGTGCCGGATTTGCCGCGGACACAATAACGGCACGCAGCTGCCGGCGCCTCTCCCGGAGGTTTTATTAAAGAGCTTTTATGTCAAGCTTCTGCTTTTAGATAGAAAAGAAGAAATCACATTTATTGACCAGGAAAACGAGTGGGTTTCTTTTTTTCCCCCTGCTGAATCGAGGGAATATCCGAGCTGTTAGGCAAACCTCAGGTGCTTGGAACTCCTCGGCTTGCCCAGCTCCGTCCTGGTTCCCGAAGGTGACGCCGTGCCAAGGGAGGCTGTGAGGATAAAGAGTGTTTTCCCAGCTTTCTGAGGCTGGGACGATGATAGGAATCATTTTTGGCCGTGGTTTTTGCTGAGTTAAGCTATGTTTCACACAGGTTTTCAGGGAGCGGTTTGGATTGGGGGTGTTTTAGGATCATCCCATTCCACGCCCTGCCACGGACAGGAACACCTTCCACTTGTCCAGGAGTCCCATCCAGCCTGGCCTGGAACAATTCCAGGGATGGGGCAGGCCACAGCTTCTCTGGGCACCGCTGTGATCTGAAACAGCCAGATCGGCAAATCGCCTTCGGGTCGATCCGTGCGGTTTTATCTGTGCCTTGGAGCAATCTGACCTGGTGGAAGGTGGGCTAGGGTGGTCTGGGCTGCTTTTGTCCTGGCTGGAATGTCCCCTCGCAGGGCTGGCATCCTCCCAGGGAAGGAATTCACTAAAAGCCTGTTGCTTTCCAGGAAAACACACGCTTTGCCAAGCGTCTGTAGGGGAAAACGCTGCTGGTGTGACGCTTCAGAAAGGGAGACCTCCAGGAAAACACACACTTTTGACTTTGCCAAGCGTCTGTAGGGGAAAACGCTGCTGGTGTGACGCTTCAGAAAGGGAGACAGGCAACTTGGGTTTGCTGGCTTTGGCATCCCCCTCCAAAAGTGAACTCCTTTTTTCCACCTCGTGGACAGGAGTTTGGATGTGGTTTTCCAAGGAAAGGCCAACGGGGGCATCACCTCGTGGTAGAGGCTTTATTTAGTTTCACGTTTGGGAGTTTTAATTTCCCACAGTGATGGGAAAGGAAGATAAACTGGTTGGGATTATAAACTCCTGCTGTTCTCTTCCCAAAATATCAGTCAGCGAGCACGGGGAAGAAGGAGGAACCCCTTCCACAGGTTATCCAAAAAATAGGTGGCTGCCCCATCCCTGGAAGCGTTCAGGGCCGGGTTGGGCAGGGCTTGGAGCAGCCTGAGAGGGTGGAATAGGTTATCCTTAAAACCCCTTCCAACCCAAACCAGCCTGTGATTCCGTGTTTCTGAGTTTTGGGGAATTTTTGGATAATGTGCAGGGCACGTGGAAATTTTATTTTTGCAGTCACTAGGTACTTACCACCTTATTGCTTTTTGCTTTTATCTTGTCACAGCAAGTAAAAGCCTCGAATTAAGGCGAATTACTCTGGCCAGGGGATTTTTCAGGCTGTGTTTAAAATACTGTAAAAGACCAAACCATAAATCCTTGGGAGGACGCTCTGGGCCTCCGTGGGGTGATATGTATTCAGCACATACAGATAATTTGTTAACAAGGCCTTTTGCCCACTTTGGACAGATGCACTTACTGTTTTCAATCTTCATGGTTAATTATTCGATTTGGGGTTGATGCTGGAACACCCTGACTCCTAATCACTGCTCTTTGTTGGGAGTCCATTATATTAGAACTGCCGGAGTGCTCCCGGTGACCTTGAACTGACATTATAAGCTGGTTCTAATCTTTTCACTCTATATTTCTAACGCCGCTTTCCTTTGTGCCTCCTTTGTGCGGCTCCCGTTTAGCATCACAATGGGGCTGCCCCTGAGCCCGGCGGCCGACTCGGCGCGCTCGGCTCGCCACGCGCTGTCGCTGATCGCCACCGCCCGCCCGCCCGCCTTCATCACCACCATCGCCAAGGAGGTGAGCCCTCGGGAGGGCTCTGGGCAGCCCCTCCCGGCCTCAGCCCCTCCCGGCCTCAGCTGGGCCGAGCCGAGGGACGGGGCGAGGCGGTGAGCGGGAGCGGTGCTGGGTTCGGGGCAGCGGTGCTGGGTTTGGGGCAGCGGTGCTGGGTTCGGGGCAGCGGTGCTGGGTTTGGGGCAGCGGTGCTGGGTTTGGGGCCAGCAGTGACCCAGAGTTGGTGCTGGGTTCGGGCTCAGCGGTGCTGGGTTCGGGGCCAGCAGTGACCCAGAGGTGGTGCTGGGTTCGGGCTCAGTGGTGACCGGAGGCGGTGCTGTGTTTGGGACCAGCCTCTCTGCTCCCGGAGCAGTGCTGGGTTCAGGACCAGCCTCGCCGCTCCTGGAGCAGTGCTGGGTTTGGGGCCAGCCTCTCTGCTCCTGGAGCAGTGCTGGGTTCAGGACCAGCCTCGCTGCACCCGGAGCAGTGCTGGGTTCAGGACCAGCCTCGCCGCTCCCGCAGCCTTTCCCCTGCCCATCCCTGCTCCCCCAGGTGCACAGGCACACGGCGCTGGCGGCCAACACGCAGTCGCAGCAGAACGTGCACACCAGCACGCTGGCCCGCGCCAAGGGCGAGATCCTGCGCGTCATCGAGATCCTCATCGACAAGATGCCCGCCGACGTGGTGGACCTGCTGGTGGAGGTGAGGCCTCGCCGCCGGCGCGCTCTGACTCCGCTCTGGGAGCTTCGGGGGTGGAGAGCATTTGCTTTGTATCAATTTCTAAATTGCATTAAGTGCTGTTGGGGAAAACATCCTGACCAAAAGGTCAAAGCCGGGGTGGACGCAGCTCGGAACGACCTGACCCGCTGGAGAGTGTCCTGCCCCTGCCAGGGCTTGGAATGGGATGACCTTCACGACTTGAATTACAGAGCATGAAACACAGATTGTCAGCTGATGGGTGATTTTTGTTTCCAAGGTGATGGACATCATCATGTACTGCCTGGAAGGATCTTTGGTTAAGAAAAAGGGTCTTCAGGAATGTTTTCCAGCCATCTGCAGGTGAGCTCTTCCTCTGGGAATCCTGGGAAGTAAATGGTAGGATCACCAGCAGGATATATTTCCTAATTAAGGGTGAAACAGTCTTTTAGGTGACACAACAAAGAGTAAAAGGTGATTTATAAAACGGGGGCATTTCCAGTATCTTTAAATGTGGATAAGTATCCCAGTCATCCTCTTAAACTGGTCCAGCCAATAAATTGTAATAATCACCTGTCAGCCGTTACATTTTAATTTAATAACCTATTAAAATATTGAACAGTTATCCTATTGCCAGGCTGGATACTGATGGAGATGATCTTCCTCCTTCCTGGTGCTTTAAGTGGCTTTCCTTAAAACATAAAAGGGGAGGATAAATGGGAATTAGTGCCCCATCTCCCTATTCCTGTGCATATTTCTAGCAGTCCAGGAGTTTAAAATTCCCTGCAATTGCTGGTAATATTTCCTGGTTACAGCCAGTGTAAAAATGATCCAGCGCCCGGCGAGGGGCCCAAGGGGAACTGCGAATTTCGCTGCAAAATTCGGAATGCAGCTGGCACTTCCACAGCTCTGCTCTCCTGTGGTATCCCCAAGGATTTGAATTTGCAATCAGGATTTAGTGCCTCTTGGGTTTCAAAGTGTTGGAATTCCAATCAATGCCACACCTGGGTCACCCTGGGTGTTCAGGACTATTGCAGCCTTTACCCCAAGGGTGTTATTGGAGTAGGGAATGGCGAATTTCCCTCTTCCTTTTTCTTTATGCCCATCAAAAATTGATGAGTTTGCTTATTTCTCCTTCCACTTCCCTTCCTTTGTGTTTGATTCCCACGGGGGAAATGCCCTCAGTGGGGCAGGGTGTGGGATGGGCACCGAACCAGCTTTAGAGGTGTGGCAGCGCGCGGAGGGCACGGCCCTGGCCGTCGATAAATCCGACGGATAAATCCGATCAGGTTCCCTGTGTCACACCACGGGCTGTAAATCAGCTCTGTGCTGATTTTATTTGTAAATCAGCTCTGCTGCTCCCCCAGGTTCTACATGGTGAGTTACTACGAGCGCAGCCACCGCGTCGCCGTGGGAGCGCGCCACGGCTCCGTGGCGCTCTACGACATCCGCACGGGCAAGTGCCAGGTGAGGAGGGGCCGGGGGCATCAGCCCTGGCTGCTGGGCTGCTCTGTGCCTGGCACAGCACCAGGGGTGGGCAGCTCTGTCCAGGAGTGCCACGGGGCACCTGAGCCGACACCCCGGGGGTTTATCTCCCCTGAAATTTGGATTATTTACTCCGTGCCGGTCGCAGTTCCTCCCTTTTCTAAACAATCTTCCACGTTAACCATGGAAAATAGAGCTGGGGGTGACCAAAGGGACTCCCAGGATAATTAGGACAGGGCCTTTTAATGAGATGCGAAAAAATTTTCCAGATAAATTAGCCGTCTGTTGGATACGGGTTTCTGCCTCCCAAGTCTGATTTTATACAGCTGCAGATTTTTCTGGCTGCTCAAAAACATGGATGGTGCAGCTGAAAAAGCCGTGCCGTTGGAGAAAAGCTCAGGTTTTTAATTTCCTTTCCTTTGGGATCCTGAAAAGCATTTTGGGTTTGGTTTTTTTCCCCTTCCAGGTAATTTTAGTTTTTTTGAGAAAGGTGGTTGTAGGAACTGACGGAGGAATTACTTGGAGTGATCAATAGGATGATGGATATCAAAAATCCCCCTTTTTAATAAAAATTACATCAGCATTTGGCTGGGATGGGGTCTCCCCTCAGTAAAATTTACTGTATTCTGACTATTCCAGATGCAAACACCGAATCTCTTTTTCCCTAGCTCCACATCAAGAGCAGGTTCTTTCTCCTCCCCTCCTATGCCATGACTCACTAACCCTCCCGGGGTGCTCTGGGTGGCACACGGCCCTCCATGTTCACCCTCATGTTCTCCTTCATATTGCCTCTCCGTATTCCCCCTCCATATTCCTCCTCGTATTCCCCCTCCGTATTCCTGCTCCATGTTCCCCCTCCGTATTCATCCTGGTATTCCCCCTCACACAATCCTGCTCCTCATACATTCCTCCTCCATATTCCCCCTCATACATTCCTCCTCCATATTCCCCCTCATACATTCCTCCTCCATATTCCCCCTCATACATTCCTCCTCCATATTTCCCCTCACACAATCCTGCGCCATATTCCCCCTCCGTATTCCTCCTCACATATTCCCTCTCCATATTGTCCCCCACTCATTCCCCCTCCGTATTCCTCCTCATATTCCCCTTCACACGTTCCTCCTCCATATTCCCCCTCACACAATCCTGCTCCGTATTCCCCCTCATACATTCCTCCTCCATATTCCCCCTCACACGTTCCCCCTCCATATTCTCCCTCACTCATTCCTCTTCCGTATTCCCCCTCACACAATCCTGCTCCGTATTCCCCCTCACACTTTCCTCCTCCATATTCCCCCTCACACATTCCTGCTCTATACTCCCCCTCACTCATTCCTCTTCCATATTTCCCCTCACACATTCCCCCTCCATATTCTCCCTCACTCATTCCTCTTCCGTATTCCCCCTCACACAATCCTGCTCCCTATTTCCCCTCACTCATTCCCCTCCCTGTTGCCCTCGCTCATTCCCCTCCATATTCCCCCTCACACAATCCTGCTCCGTATTCCCCCTCATACATTCCTCCTCCATATTTCCCCTCACACGTTCCCCCTCCATATTCTCCCTCACTCATTCCTCCTCCATATTCCCCCTCGCACATTCCTGCTCCGTATTTCCCCTCTCTCATTCCCCTCCCTGTTCCCCTCCATGTTCCCCTCACTCATTCCCCTCCATGTTCCCCTCACTCGTTCCCCTCCATGTTCCCCTCACTGATTCTCCTCCATGTTCCCCTGTCCCTGTCCCTGTCCCTGGGCTCATATTCCCCCTCGCACATTCCTGCTCCCTATTTCCCCTCACTCATTCCCCTCCATGTTCCCCTCACTCATTCCCCTCGCCCGTTCCCCTCACCGATTCCCCTCCATGTTCCCCTGTCCCTGTCCCTGTCCCTGGGCTGAGCTCTCCCAGCCGAGGCTCCGGGGCTGTTCTCCCTCTGATCTCCATCCCCAGGGCCATTCCCTGCACTCCTGTCTCAGGTGAGGCACAGGTTAAACCCAGCAGCTTCCCAAAAACAAGGTGGAGCTTCCCTCGGCACCTTCCATGATGATTATTGATCCCTTCTTCCCTTCCTTCCTTCCCGGCTCCATCTTGATCAGGGCCGAGATGAGATCTGGGATTTGATAAAGATAATTGATGCTTCTCAGGGAATTGGAAACCAGTTCTGAGAGCAGCAGCTCCACCTGGAAACGTGCCCTTTGTTTGCCCAGCTCGGAACCCCACAGATGCAATTTTTATCCCAAAATAAACCCTTGGAGTAATAATTACCATTATAATTCATGCAGAACAATATAAAAGGATTAGGCAACAGGAGTAAGGTATTGTTGAGCACAGGCTCTGTTTGCCCAGTTAGACACTAAAATAATATTACATTCCAACCAAATTATTAAGATTTTGTGTAAGATTCCTAATTATTAACACACAGGTAAAAATCCTGCACCTAAAGGTGCAGTAACACAGGAAAATCCTGATGCTGGAAATGCTATTTGATATCAGATTAAACACTAAAATGAGACTGGAGAGAGAGATTGCAGGTAACTGAATTTTAGGATACCTGATAGTTGATTTTGGGTGAATTCTTGCTGAGTACCAGAGTCTGGCCCAAAATCCCCCAATTAATTCCTCAGTACAAGTTCTTTAATTATCTTCTTTTCCTTTACTACCATATTTGGGTCTATAAGGAGACACTCTGAAATATTCCATTTTTATTGATTAAATCTCGGGATTCAGCATAAATATTTAGAGCTGCATTTCAGAAATACATGTAATTTTTGTTCCTAAAACCTGGGTCATTTGCAGCGGAAGATTAAAGAGAAACATAAGTTATTTTGGGTTTATTTCAAAGCAAAAACTACTTTTAAGCCCGGCCTGGGAATCAATAACGTTTGGTCCTGGCTCCTTCCAGAATTAAAATCCCAGCAATCCCAGCATTAATTGGATTGTGCGGGGCTGATTTTATTTCAGTCCTGGATGCCTTGGCAAAGCTTGATTTATGTGGAAGGCAGAAAAAGAATTTAATATTCCATTCGGAATGAATCGTGGCCCGGCTTAATGAATTCCAGAGGAGAAGATGCTGTTCTTGAAAGCAACGCTTTAAAAACCTGCAGCCCACACCTGCCTTTCCAGCACACCCTGAAATTCCAGAGGAAAGGGAATTCCTGAGCATCACCTCAGCTGGATGGGCCAAAAGCTTTTCTAAACCCACAAACAACAGGGCAAGGGATTGTCGTTGATTTATTTATCAATCAAGTGATTAAAGGTGCTGAAACTTCAAAAACCAGGGATTCCTTTGGAAAAGCTCGGAGGGAGAGTTCTTCCTGTCCCTTGTCCTTGCAGTCACCTCCTCCTGGGTGTCCCTTGGGTGCCCCGTGCCCTTCCCAAGGGTTCCCAGGCTGCCACCGCTGCCAGTTTGCCCTTTTCTTTAAGGAACCCCTGGAATTCCATGGGATAAATACCAGTGGGTGTCTCCAGGAGGGCGTTATCGGTTTCAAATCTGCGGCTTGCTGGTGTGATCTGCAAAAATCCTGCCCGGAGAGGATTAGCATCAATTAGAGAAGCACTTCCTTTAAATAACAAAGCAGCTGGATTCCCCGAAGGATTTGTGCTTCTTGGGAGTAAAAAGAGCAACAAGTGCGCTGCTCCTATTGATTGCTACCTTTGTGTCAGCAAAACATATTTTATTGACAAGTGTTAAAGACTGGGACGGGGCTAAATGTGGGATCAGCTAATTAAGCGTGCGGATCCCATTAAAGACAGAGATTTGGGCTTCACTCACCTTTTCCACCAGGAATAAATTAATATCTTAACGAGCTCTTCATAGATCGGGCTCATCCCGAGCGAGGCTTTTACAGACCCGGGGGGGGGCGCGGGAGCTGCCCGGGGGGGGCTCTGCCCCAGCGGGGATGTTCAGGAGAAAATCCCCAGGTTTGGGCTTTTCGGATCCTTTTCGGGGTGCTCACTGAGGAGACGTTGTGTGCCCTGTTCCCAGACCATCCACGGCCACAAGGGAGCCATCACCGCCGTGGCGTTCGCCCCCGACGGCCGCTACCTGGCCACCTACTCCAACTCGGACAGCCACCTGTGCTTCTGGCAGGTGAGGCCACATCTCCGTGCCATCCATCCCTTCTCTTGGTGCCGTGAGGGAGGCAAGGTCACAGCTTGGAGCAGCCTGGACTTTAAGGCGACCCTTAAAATCCCTTCCAGCCCGAGCGCAAGGGGTTAAACGCCCTCTGTGTGAATTTTTTTTTCCCCTTCCGCGTCCTGCTTTTCATGCAGGAAAATCAGGAGCGTTAGTCATCCTAAAAGGGTTATTACTCCAGGTGATTTAAGGGGGGCTCGAAGATGCCGTGATTTACACCCTGCTGCCCGAGGGGTGGCATGAACACCCGGGGGGGTTCACCAGGGTTCCCTGGGGACAGCAATCCCAGCTTGTGGGGGGCGCGGAGACCCCAGGGAATCTCGGAGCAAGCCCAAGGCCGGCTTAGACCGTGTCAGAGCCGGGCTCAAGGCAGGCTGTCTCCGCAGATGAACACCTCTCTCCTGGGCAGCATCGGCATGCTCAACTCCGCTCCCCAGCTGCGCTGCGTCAAGACCTACCAGGTACCCCCGGTGCAGCCGGCCTCGCCCGGCTCGCACACCGCGCTGCGCCTGGCGCGCCTCATCTGGACCTCCAACCGCAACATCATCCTCATGGCCCACGACGGCAAGGAGCACCGCTTCATGGTCTAGGTGAGCCCGGTCTAGCTGAGCCCGGCCCTGCGGGGCCGCCGAGGCTCCTCCCGCACGGATGTCACCCGATCCCGCTTCCCTTCGGAGCCTCCCGAGATGTGTTTACACGGGGTGCCGCCGGAAATGGGGATTTGGGGTTTGGCGGCCGCGCTGGTCCCAAAGGGTGAAGGGGTTGGAAGAGCTGCCGTGCCCACGCAGGAAGGAAAAAATGTGTAAATAAATAATTTAAAAATGCTGTTAAAATAATTTAAAAATCCTGTTAAAGCCAGGGCCCTGGTTCTGCCCTGGCTTGGTAAAAAAGCAGTATTTGTATAGAAAGGTGGTTTTCGCCGCCAGTGCGGGTATTTATTTAAATAAAGGACAAAAGGGGGCGTTTTGAATGGAAAAATGATCAAAATGATGGAAAAAAAAAAAAAGAATTCGTGACTGGATGTACTGAAATATTTCTTTCAGTAGGAACATTCCTGTGTGACACTCGCTGTGACTGTGTTTCCTTCTTACATATCTGGTTTGTGGAATATTTTGTGTGACATTTTCTGGTTTCTGCTCATGGGAAAGAGAAAAAACCAAAAATCTCTCAAATCCTTTTATTTCAATATCTCTGTTTGTGCAGCTTTTCCTTGGCTGCAGAGCTCGGACCTGAGACTGGCACTACCTGCTAAGCTAAAAATGCCACTCGTTCCAAAAATGAAGGAATTCATTTCCCCCCTGGCTCCAAAAGAGAAAAGAAATGTCTTTTGTTCCCCTTTGGGTTACGTGTGTGGTGCTTTGCTCGAAGCAGGAGGCTCAGAGCCCGAGGAGCCGGGGCTGCCCCCGGTGCCACCGCGCTGCTGCCAGCTCGGCCTCGTCCCCGTGTCCCACCCGGTGACACCGGGGTGACAAAGTCACCGTGTGATGTTCCAGTGTCTGCTTCTCCTCAAATCTGCTCCCCGCCCTCTGTGGATTCAAGTTCCTGGTGTAAATGTGCTTGCGGAATAAAGCCGGGCTGAAACGCGTCGCGGCTGTCGGCGATGGTTCTTCAGCAACGCGATTTTCCCTCGGGATGACAGCGGGGTGGTTTGGGTTGGAAGGGTGAGTTCCCAGAGGAATTCTCTGCAGGGAATAAAATCAGCTGGCTGTGTTGTGCTGTCCCACAGCAGAGGAAGTCCCTGTGGAGCAGGTCAGGGGTTGCCTGCTCGCTCTCCAAGCTCAAATCCCGCAGGAATTGCGTGGGTGGTGTTCAGCCTCTGTTCCCTGCAGGCTGGGTGGGCAGTGCCCGGGGATCCAGCCTGCACAAACCTCTCCTCTCCTCCAGCTGCAGGGCAGAGCAGAGCCTTGCAAAATGCATAGCTGGGAGCCGGGAGGGAAACGCTTCCAAGCTCTGAGCGTTGCGTGGTGACACGGCCGGGATGCTCAGGAGAGGGAGGGAGGCAGAGCCGTGTTTAACACCTCACACGGGGTCTGGGCAAACACCAGAGGTCCTGGAGAATTCCCAAGGCAGGGAATGCTGCTGCTGCTGCTGCCCCACGGCTGGGGAGGCACAAAGGGGCAGCTGCCATCTCCTCCGAGGGCAGTGACAGCCCGTGGAAGCGCGGGCGCGGCCGGGGCCGTTCCCCTGGTGCCCCGTGTGTGTGCTGGGGCTGCTCGTCCTGCTGGCTGTGCCCTGGCTGTGCCCTGGTTCTGCCCTGGCTGTGCCCTGGTTCTGCCCTGGCTGTGCCCTGGCTGTGCCCTGGTTCTGCCCTGGTTCTGCCCTGGTTCTGCCCTGGTTCTGCCCTGGCTGTGCCCTGGTTCTGCCCTGGCTGTGCCCTGGTTCTGCCCTGGTTCTGCCCTGCCTGTGCTTCCACGCCCCCAGCCCTTGTTTGTTTGTCTGGTTCCCTGCTTGCAGCCTCAGCTCAGGGCCGCCAAGTGCCCGCTGCGGAGCTGGGAGCAGCCACGGCCCCTCTGCTCCTCTTCCTCAGCCCGGGAGGCTGCAGAGGAGGCTTTGCTTCTGTCCAGCCTTCAGAAACTTCACCAGCATTAATACTTTTGTCTGAACAAAAAAAAAAAAAAATCAGGAGAAATCTGGATGGGAGCCTCCGGTGTGATAAATTGACACTCGATCCAGCGGTTGCCTGGAGCGCGCTTTGAAGCGGGAGAGGCTCCTGGGGAACTTCCCCCTCTCTCTGATGTCTGAAAATTAAAAATTAATCCGCTATGAAAAATTAAAAGGTGAAACTTTCTGCTCTTTCAGCAGCAGAGCTTTTGGAATGCTGATGCGGGGCTTGGAATGGAGGCTGAGTGACATCTCCGGGAACATCACCCTGGGCTGGTGCATTCTAATATCAGATTTTAATTGATTTTTGTAAATTGGAAACCTGTTTGCAAAGGACTGGAGATGCTTAAAAAGGGGTAAATATTTATTTATTGATGTAAATAACCTTAAACAGGCATTTACTCACTCCTGCAGAGTTTACAACACCGTGAAAGGAAATGCTTCCAGCTTGGAAGTGATGCTGGAATCTGCACACCTTGCAAGCTTCAATCCGGCTTTTTTACAAACCAATGGTTTCAAACAGAAAACGGGTTAAAATGCACTTTTTTCCAGGAGCAAACAGCGAAGCTGCTGCTGCTGCTGGGAGGAGGCAGAGGCAGGAGGGAGAGGATGGGGAGTGGGAAGGAACGGGAACAAATCGAGGCAGAGCCCAAATCCAATCTGTGCGGTGGATTCGGGGATTCAGCCAAGCCGAAAGCGGCCGCGTCCCACCCCGGGGATGCCAGGGAAGCCGTGGGGAGCTCAGAGATGAGTTCCCATCAAGTGCATCGGCTTGGAAAATGGGGAAGGTTGAGGGGCAGGCTCGCACGGCCCCGGGGGAAGGTTTGCCGGGGGAAATGGGAAGAGCTGCTCGCGGTGTCAATTTTCTGTGGGTTTCGGTTGTCCAGAGCCATCACCCGCTGTGCCAGGGGGGTACACAGTCCTGGAGTGGGTCGGGCTGGAAGGGACCTTAAAGCTCAGCCAATTCCAGCCCCACGCAGCACAGGGCAGAGCTCCCTAATGGAGTTCTGTCGGACACACTGGGAAGGAGGAGAAATGGGACTCACGGACCCAGAACCACACTCTGCCTGTCGTGCCTTCCCTCTGCAGCTGCTGGGAGTTTTTCTCTGCGGGAGGGAGGCATGTCCCAACAGCCCAGCGCAGGACTGGGTGGTCCTGAGGGTCTTTTCCAAGCCAAAGCGTGCAGGGACTCGGCGGGGTGCAGGTCACCTCCTCCCGGCATGGAGCTGAGCCCACCCGCAGGGGCAGCGGGCAGCAAAGCTTCCCTGGGCAGCACTTCTGGGATACAGGGAAGGGCTGGCTGTAACCCCCTGTGCCTGCCTGCTGTCCTGTGGGATGTGCCTAGGTCGTGGCTTCCAGCTCGGAGGTGCGAATCCCGAGGGATTAAAAGAGATTAAATACCTTCTTCTCCCAAACTGGAGGTTTGGATAGTCAAAACGTGGGAGCTGGAAATGGTCACCCTCCATCTGCACCAGATTCCTTCTGCTGCTCTCCTTGGCAGGGGAAAACACACGTGGAGGGTAACAGACACTCCTTTTTTGTTTTTTTTTTTTTTTTTGTAAAACGCTGCATTATTTCACCCAAACTGCTCGGAGCAGCCAAAGGGGGAGCCCGAGGGGGACAAGGACAGGCAGGCGCTGCCGGGGGGAGCCAGGGCTGGGAAGGTGCCCAGGGAGCCCCCCCAGCTGCTCCTCGGAGCATCTTCGCTAAGGATTTAAACACCCGTTGAAATTAATCTGCTGGATAAAACCTTTTCTTCATAGTCTTCATTAATCACCCCGTCCTTCCCGTAGATCCTGGCAGGAAAATAGATTTTTTTTAAACCTGTCAGCTGTGGTTTTGTGGGATTCATTTCGTGCCTGCTCTGTCTGTTCTCCTGCACTGCCGGGGAGGAGGGAGACGATTAAAAACTCCGAGCGCTCATTGCTGCACCGAGCCCGGAGCTGGGAATTATGTAACCGCTGGCCGGGCTGGGGGCATTAAATACAGAATTTGGGCAGGGGGCTTTGTGTTTCCCGGCAAGCCAGGAGATTGAGAGCTGAAAATCCGTCCCGAGCCACCTCCCTGGGACAGCGGGGGCTGTGTCCCGGCGGATTTGGGGAGGGGAGGGAGGCTCCAAGCACTCGGGCCGGAGCTCATCCCTGATAAGGAGCTCACGGAGGGCAGCTTTCCATCCGTGTCCCACGGCCCCAAAACCAGCACGGCGGGCAGCTCGGGGGTGGCATCCCGCAGGATGCGGTCCGGCATTCCGCCCCAAACCCAGCTCCCGGCATCAATTATGGATGGAGGCGGAACTGCGGGAGCCCGAGGAGGAAACACTTCCAGGAAAGGCGGCGGAGGAGCCCCCGGGGAGCCCCGCAGGGAGCGCGGCTGTCGCTCCCTAACGAAGCCGAGCAATTAGCGCCGGGTGCCGGGAAGGGCGGCAGAGCTGCCAGCGCCTGCCGAGAGCCGGGAGGGGCAACGGGGGACAAGCCGGGGACACGGGGCAACCGGCCTGGGGAACTGCTGGGGACCAGCCGGGGACACAGGGCATCCCGGGCACACCGAGACCCCAGGCATCCCGGGCACACAGGGACCCAGGGCATCCCCGAGGATGCAGAGAGACCCAGGGCACTCACAGGGACCCAGGGCACTCACAGGGACCCAGGGCACCCACAGGGACCCAGGGCACCCACAGGGACCCAGGGCACCCACAGGGACCCAGGGCACACACAGGGACCCAGGGCACCCACAGGGACCCAGGACATCCCCGAGGATGCAGAGAGACCCAGGGCACCCACAGGGACCCAGGGCACACACAGGGACCTTGCCCTCCCCCGTTCCCGCAGCGGGGATGCGGTCCGGCCCCAGGCTGAGCTGTTTCCCGTGTTTGAACGCGAGCCAAGGGGTAAAATGCAGATTTGTTGATTCTGTTTGAGCCCCCACAGGAAGGGGAGGGAATAAGGAGCACATTCCTGGCCGGGAGGGCGGGCAGGCCCTGGTGCCCAGAGCAGCCGGGGCTGCCCCTGGCAGTGTCCACAGGGCTCGGAGCAGCCTGGGACATTGGGAGGTGGCCCTGCCACGGCAGAGCTGGCACTGGATGGACTCTGAACTCCTTCCCAAACCAAGCCACCCCGGAATTGTGTGACTTCCAGCACAGCCCACAGCCTGGCAGAGCAGCAGCCCTGGGGAGGGCTCTGAGGCTGCTCCAGCAGAGGCACGGCTGATGGCTGAGCTCCTTCTCCATATGGAGAAATCCATACGCCCGTGACATTTCTAGGACACGCTATTTTTGCCTCGTGAGGGGGCTGGAAAAAAAAAATCAGAGTGGCTTTCAAGAAATGAAAGCACCCTATTTAAGCTGAGAAAATTGTTCTTGCTGATTAACCTGGAGCTTTTCAACAGGGTCTCTGGTGACACAATGGCACAGGATCTAAGGTGAGAAGGACAGGTTTGGTGGGGAAGGCTCCAAATGGGCTTTGGAAAGTTCTGGAGCTGCCCCGTGGTGACGTGCTGGGGTGCTGGAAATGGTCACCCTGAAAAGCAACCCCCCGAAACTGGGGGTGAGAGCTGAGGCTGCTGAGAGCAAAGAGCAGCGGGAAGTTACAAAAGTCATTCCCTGATGGAAAGCAACCGCAGATTTAGGCTGGCAAAGGGGCAAAAAGGCAGAAAATAAATTCTCCTAAGCGTCTCGTACTTCCTTTGCTCCAGAGTTTGCAAAATTTCTCAAGTTCATTGATTTTTTTTTTTTTAATGCAGGAAATGGCGTGAAATTTATGACAATTCTGGGAGGTGAAAACCAGCACATCTCCGGGGGTGTAGATGCAGCAGGGGGGGATTTAGCCTTTTTATGCAGGAAATGGCGTGAAATTTATGACAATTCTGGGAGGTGAAAACCAGCACATCTCCGGGGGTGTAGATGCAGCAGGGGGGGATTTAGCTCTTCCAGCCTAGAGACACACCAACTGCAGTGTGGAGAGGCTCCCAGACTTTCCTTCCCTTTCT